TGATCCCTCCTTGAACCTAGGACAGATCAACAAGGTGATGCCATCAGGTTTTTTTCAGTCCATATTTTCCAGTGATATTTATGCCTCCCCTCAAACCACCTTGAACACACCTTTGCACTATGTGTCTTTTGCTGTGTTCCTAATATTTTCTTCTGGTTTATTTTTGTTTTCTGTGTGTCACACTTGCTGCTGTGCATCCTGGTGCTGCCCTGGCCAGGTGTCCCTCACTGCAGTGGCCACGGGAGCTGGCACGGGGAGAAGTGTGTCTGTGATGAGCCTTTCTTTGGCGAGGATTGCAGCCAGCAGCTCTGCCCCGAGAACTGCAGCGGCCACGGGATCTGTGACACGGCCAAAGGTATCTGCCAGTGCCACCAGGAGTTCATCGGGGAGGACTGCAGCGAGAAACGATGCCCTGGGGACTGCAGTGGCAATGGTTTCTGTGACACAGGAGAGTGCTACTGCCACGATGGCTTCTTTGGCCTCGACTGCTCCCAGGGTAAGATGTGCCTGTGAGCTCTTTCTTGCCATCCGAGTTTCCCTCTCCACCTCCCACACACTTGGTTAATCCCATAAAGAAACCAACCCTGTGGTCACCATATTCCTCATGGAATTCCTACTGGGCTAGGGGTTACTGACTTGTCTTCAAGAATTACCTGGAAGACATTTCTGAACTGGAGAAAGGTGGAAATACAGCTAAAGGTAGCACTAGCAGCAGCCTGTGCATAGCAGATGGAGGAGAGAGCAGAATGGGCACAGAGCCTGTAATTAAAGAGGGAGCCAGAGGCTGCTCCTTCCATACAAATGAGACAGTAGAAGGTAAAATCATGTTTGCTGCAGTGTGCACTGCTTGGCAATAAGGTAGTTGATTTGATAAAACCTGTGAGACAAAGGATGTGTAAATCCTTTAAATGACCTCCCTTTGAAGTGAGGTCTTTGGGAAATTCTCCCTTATCCTGCTTTGTTACGAGGCAGCAGGATTTGCCTGAGAAGACCTGACTGAGCTGACCTTGAGATGTGTGTCCAGCAGTTTTCTGCTTCATTCTGCAAAACTTGGAGCCTCCCTACAACCACGGGTTGATACTCCAGGCTTCAGCAATCAGACTTTCCTTCTCAGCACATCTCTGCTTGGTCTAATCTTTCACAGCTCCTCATGAAGAAAGCAGGTAACAACCACACACTGAGCAGCAGGTATTACTCAGTATGGGTTTGCAGTGACCTTGCTCTCAGATCTGTTCTGCTCCAGATCATCCCTCACCTCTCAGGCTTGATCCATCTGCTTAGAGACTCACCTTTTAAATTAGAGATTATCAGCTCAAATTCTGCACCCAAATCTGTCTCAAAACTTCACTCCTCCTGCCCTTTCCACACCATCCAGAGGTGTTTATCTGTGGCTCCAGCACTCCTCTCCCCTGTCAGTAGAGATTTGCTGCTCAAGAGGCAGCACCTTTATAGAGGTAGCAAGCAGAAGAGTTTCTGCCAGATCAGGAATAATTCTCCCAGAGAACTGTGGCCCAGATAGCCTCTCCCAGAGGGCTGGCTGGGTCCAGCCTTGGATCATCATCTTTACACAACACCTGCAGCTGTTTTACAGGCTGTGAAAGTGGCCTCTGTCCCTGAGTGAGCAAATACTCCAGAGCTGATGCATATAGCACTGCTTGTATTTATTTATCATTATTATTCTATTTTTATGTGTCTCAGATCATGAAATGACTTTTTTTTAATATATTGCCATGGTAACTGGAATGTCTGAACATTTAGAAGCTACTGTCAAGCATGCAACACTATAATTAATGCCTTGCAGTTCCTTCTGAAGGAGAAATAGAGGACAAGGACATGTTGAACAGCACAGAGGCAGATACAATCCTCTTCCCAGCTATGCTTAGACAAGGAATAAACCACAGCACGTGTATTTAGGTTCTTTATTGTTTTACTGCAAGGCTGGGTTATTCAAATCCAGTTTCCACATCACAAGAAGAGGCAGGATGAACAGTCTCATGTTTTGTACAAAGCTTCCAATAAAAGCAATGGCATGCCCATAGTGAGGGTGGCTTTGGTGAAAGCTGTGACTTACACATGGCAATGGATGCTGCCTTTCAAGTGAGAAGAGTCTCATGATTTGATCTGACCTCATGTTGCTGACACATGCCTTTTCAGAGGCACTTGCTACCTCTGTTTTGCTATCAGTTTGCTGCCTTGCTAATGACATACAGCTGGGAGATGGTTTGATCAGTTTATGATGTGCTCACTTGTAATTAAAATCAGGTAAACTTGATGATAAACAGATGTTCTACACTGACTGCTTTCAAGGGCTGCTTCAAGACACTGATGAGTTGTCTGTCTTGTGACAAAATGTCTAAGGCACTGTTGGTGTTCTGAAATGTGTTATGTGCAGCAGATTTGCCCAGGTCTCCTTCAGGCACCAAGTGTTGAGTTTCCATCAGTCCTCAGTCAGAACAGCTCTGTTTCTGACCTCTACCCTGCAGAAACTGTGTGCCCAGGTTTGGGGCCCAGCTGACATTTTGAAATAACTGACAGTTATAGGAAAAGAAGGTCTGGGCTTGTCTCTCTTCTTTAGATGCATTGGAAGGGTGAGCTTTATCAGAGAGTTTTCCTCATGCCAGTGTGGGTTTAGAAGCTGGAAAGGGACACCCAGGAAACTGTTTCTGGCTGTAGTATTCATTTGTATTTAATGATATGCTGTTGAGCAGAAAGAAATGGCTAAATCCAAGATGACTCCAGATTGGAAGCTCCAGTTCTGCATTTTCTTATTCAAAATAGGATTGAAAATTTTTTGTGTATGGCCACGTGACTAGACATCATCCTCACTGCAGTGTTTTCCTTTGGTCCTCTTCTAGTGCTTGCCCCCCAGAACCTGCAGCTGCTGAACTCCACAGAGAGCTCTCTGGCTGTCAGCTGGGATCCAATGGCTGATGTAGACAACTACCTCCTTACCTATTATCCAGTTGGATATGAGATGTTGGTGAAACAAATCCATGTGCCCGGAGAGCAGCTCAGCTATGAGATTGTGGGTCTCAGCCCTGGCACCACATACAATGTCACACTTCATCACCTGAAGAAGGGGATTGCTAGTGAGCCCAAGTATCTTGAAGCAACTACAGGTAGGAGCAGGTGGGATTTTTCTTCAGAGTCAGACATTGTAGATCTTTAGATTCCAACAAGTGGATTGAACTGAATGCTGGAGAGTGCTCAGTGCACTCTCCCTTCTCAGGCTACAGTTTTCTGCCATTTTCTGGAGAATCTGTTCCCAGATATGTATTGTTAGGGCTGAATGTACTGCAAAATTCCTCTCTTCAATGAGTTCTCACAGCCTCTTCCCAGGACTGAATGAGCCTTATCTTGCTGAGGTTAGGAGGTTGAGTGTGCAAAGGCTGTCTGTTTGAAGCAGAGAACTGAAATGCTATTTGGTTAGAAGCTGGCATTACGCTGCCTGCCTGTACTTGGCAAAAACAGCGAAAAGTTTGGTGATTTTGACATATTTCTTGCTTCTAGCACAGCAGGTGGGAGCTGAGAGCCAGAAAGCTCTAGAGCTGGAGTGTTATCATGGGTAAAACTCAGCCTGTTGAAATAATGATTGTGCTGTACTTGCTTAACTTTTTAGTTGGCTGAGGAAAATGTCTTGGGTGTTAGAGCAGGACACTGAGCAGGGAGGAGGACCTCCCATCTTACATCTTTACCTGATGCTGCTTCCTCATGGCTTTTTGCTGTCCTTCCCAGTCCTATCTGCACTCAACGCTATCTGGGTGACAGAGGAGATGGAGCACTCCCTGGAAGTGGAGTGGGAGAACCCACCAACAGCTGTGGATTTTTACAAGCTGAAGTTCAGATCCCTGGGGGAGGTGGATGAGAAGCAGGTCATGGTGCCCAAAAGCAATGACCCTAAGAGCAGATACATCCTGACTGGTGAGTACTTGTGGGTATTCCCAGCTGCCTAGGGACAGGGAGGAGTGGCAGGAGTGACTGACAGTCAGACCATAGTCCTGAGACAGTTCTCTCATGTGTGAATGAGCAGTTTTCCTTCACCTTGTGCTAGGGTGAGATCTACTGGGGCTTCTCTGTCCCTTAATGATGAATGTCTCCACGGGGAGAAAGCTTCTGTGCCCTGTGAATAGCAAGTTTCAAGGCATATTTATTCAGCTTTAATTCTGTCCTTGTTAGGAATGAAGTATATTCTTCTGTCTCAGAGCTGTTAATACTGATGTTATGGAATTTTTCATGTATGCCCCAAGGGCAGGCCTAGACCGAAGTGATATTGAGGCATTCTCAAGACAAAAGGAAGTTAGATAGAAATCTCAACTCCAGGTTCCTCTTTGCTATAAATCTAGACCTAGATAGACTAAAACCAATAGCTTTCTTCAAGAAAAAATACTGCCCTCCCTAACTGTTGGTAACATTCCCTTTTGCTCTTTGTAGGCCTGAAACCTGGCACAGAGTATAGGGTTACTGTCATACCTGTGAAGGACAACACGGAGGGGAAACCATCCTCAGTGGCTGGTAGGACTGGTATGTTGCTTTTATTACAGTGGTGTTACTACAGGGTTTGGGGGCAGATCTGCCAAAATTACACCACAAAAGGTAATAGTTTTGAGCTATTATACTGCAATAAAGAGCTTGAAGAATTTTGAACTCTTATTCTATCTGTAGGAGTCTGGAATCTCTGAAATTCAGCCCTTAAAAAGGGTAGGTGTGCTGCTTCCAAAGGCTGAAAAATCCCATATCAGGCCTGACAGTCCTGAGGTTGTCTTGTAAATTATTCAATTAAAAAGAAATTACTTGCAAACAGCAGAACCTACAACCTCCACACACTGCCATTGTAAGGCAGCTCTGCAGCCCTGTGTAGACTCTGATTAGCTGGAACACCCTTGATTTGCATTTTCAAGCTGTTCTTGACAGACATGGGGGCTGCAAAGCTGCTTAAAAACAGGGAAAGAAACATCCCAGAATGAGTAATCCTGTTCATATTGTTCTGTCACCCCTGGGATTTAGGAGCTGCAACTGAGACAAATACCATCTACTTCAAGAGGTACCACTAAACTCTGATTCATTCATCTAAAATAGCAAAGCCTTGGGGGGAGACAGATCTGCAGGGTAGGCAACATGGGAGGCTGTAAGGGGAATGCTAGGTGACTCTTTTAGCAGGGCAAAAGTGAAGGACCTGTACACGTGTCATGACAGGGATTATGGTTTAATTCATCTGGAGTTTCCTAATCCTGCACTTTGAAATGTCTTTTTAGGACTTGATAGCCCAACCAATGTGACAACTGACCGAGTGACAGAAGATACCATCACTGCCTTGTGGAATAAAGTGGAGGCTCCCATAGACAGGTACATGGTGAGATACACCTCAGCTGATGGGGATACCAAGGAAGTAGAGGTGGGGAGTGAAAAGAACACGATCAAGTTACTGGATCTGAAGCCAGGCATGGAATATGTCATCCACATCCGGGCAGAGAAGGGGCCCCAGAGGAGCAAGAAGGCAAGCACCAGAGCTGTGACAGGTGAGTTGCAGCAGCAGCACAGGGAGCTGAGTTTGAAATTCAAAAAACTCCACCAATTTTACTTGCTTTAGTAAAGCTACTCCTGCTTTGCACATGTTTTTAGTGAGACAAATAGTTCATGTCATTTTTACTAGTGTGGCTGAACAGGTCTCCAGCTCAGCTTAAGACTCTGAGTTCTGCTGTGGACAGACCCTATGGCAAGGGGCCAGTTACTGTTGGTACAGAGAACAGTGAAGCACAGCCAGCTGGAATGTGAAATTCATGCCTTGCCTTGAAAATGCCATAAATCATCTCCAAGTTTTGCTTTGGGTGGCTCTTGTGGCCTTTCCCAGCAGTGCAGGGGCCTCATACACATTTGGCACAGATAATCATGACAGGGTGTTTGTTAAAAGGGAAAAGCAAATTCATTTGGATCATGGCATAAATTAAGGATCATGTGGGGAATCAAATCTCTCAAACAGGACGTTTGGTCACTGTGCTTTGGTGGCAGTGAGTCTCCACTGGAAAGGTGGTTGCAGCAGTGTCTGCAGCTGGATTGGGAAACTGCTTGAAGCCCTTTTGATTGATTTTAACAATCCACTGAGCCATGTGTAGCTGTGTGTACAGGAGCAGCTCCTACTGACTATTTACAAATGTCTTATCTATGTGCAATCTGCACTTACACACCAAACTTACCTAGGGGAGTGCTTAGGATGCTCCACTCTGGATGTTAACCAACACATTTAAGCACATAAATTGGACTAGGCACAACAGGAGATGCCTCAGGGAATTGGTAGGTTTGTCTGAAGTTCCCACATGAGGGGATCAGTCAAATGCTTAATGATGAAGCTCAGTCAATCCCCTACTTTGAAGCTGGTCCATTGTCTGGGGCCAGCCCATGTTCTCACTGGGACAAGTGACTGTCTGGGAAGGTCCTGGGCCACCCAGGGAGCTAAGGGGTTAAATTCTATGCACATGCAGAGTGAAACAGCCCAGCTGCAGTGCAATTATCACTAAAGAACAAACTTGATTTTCATATCACACAAGAAAAATCATTCACTTGATTTCTCTTACCACAGGTGAGCATCTCATACTGCTAACGAGCTGAGCTGTGATTATTCAAATTCCCAGTTCCCAGCGTGTGCTGCTCTTGGGCAGCACAAACAAGCCTCAGCATCTTTCAGTAAAGTGAAAAGTAATGTATTTTCATCTCACAAAAGAGGTGGGATTAGTACACGCAGGTGGCAAAACACAACTTTTTCCATAGCTAATGTGTGGTAAATTACAGTGCAGGTTAGCTGGTGTGTGGTAAATTACAGTGTGGCTGTCAGGTGGTTGTGCATTTGTACTCTGGAGTTTACAGCCTCCAGCAGCAGGAGAAATGCTGTTCCAATAATTTGGGAGGCATTTGTGAGTCCTTCATTGCTTAAGCTGTATTTAGCAGTGCAAAGGTCATGGGCTGTGGTGCTGTCCTCCAAGGGCCACATTCCTCCAGGCTGTGTTGTGATAAGGCTTGTGAAATCTAGTGCCATGTTCCCATCTGTGAAAAGGGCAGGGGAAGGATGGTAATAGTGGAGGAGTTTGAAAGTGAAATAATCTTGTTCCAGGAGAGCTCCATTTCAGCCACAGATTTTGAGCAGGTGATTTGGGTGGGGTTTTTTTGGGGTTAATTCTCAGGCAGAAGGTTGTGATCTTCAGAAAGCAAAAGACAGTTATACCATATTCTGAGCGGGCTTTCCTCTCTGCCCAGGCAGGGTTGGCTGTGCTTCTGTGGCTCCCCAGAGTCCTGCTGTTGTAGCCATGAAGAGATATTTTTTCCCCCAGCTGAAATACCTCAGAACTGAGCACCTCCCAGCATTGGCCCATCCTCAAAAAGAAATAAAAGATGAGGAGTGGAAGAAATCTGCAGGGCCCTGAAGGGAAGGAGTAAGAGTAGCCTCACTAGGACACCCATGTTCTTCACTCCCAACTGTCCCCACAGAAACCAGCAGCCCAGCACAGGTCAGAGGGGGCAACTGGACCTGCCAAGGCTCAACCACCTTGGTGCTGACATGCAGGTGTGGTTACCAATGTGCCAAGCATGGCAGGACATGGAAGCAGTTAGCATCCCTGGTTTTATCTGCCTTGCACTGTGTCCAGCAGTACAACATGATTTGGCTCCACAAATGGTGATGTCCAACAGGACTCACTTAAGTGTTGTTTTGATCATGCAGTTTCATGATCTCTCTTTTCATTGCTTGGTATTAAAGATGCACAGTGGTAACACCATTTTGGAGATAAATGCATAAGTATAGGTTACCATAACAGACTGCTGCTATAGGTGATTGTAGAAGATCTTGTAATACTAGAGCCATAATAGCTTGTCCTTAATTAAAAGCATGCAGAGCTTCATATGCTGCTATCCAGCCTAACAATAACAGAGGTTTAACAACCAAAATGAAACCATTTTAGATCAGAGGCAGTTAAAAATAACGGCCTGCCCTTTGACTCGTGACCTTAGGCTAGTCCTAGGAGACTGCCAGGCAGGCTTAAATCTGTCCTGTTCAGTCAGCCATAAGGATTGTGGTGTACTGGGAACATCTCAGGGTCACTCCGTATCCATTGACCTTGCTAATGTACTTTTTATTTAGTTTAGGAATCCAGCTGGTGTGAGATAGAACTGCTGAAGTTTGGATTTAGGTCAAGATGCCAAACTGTTCCCCAGTGCTTACAGAGGTCGAGGGCAGCTAATGGGGACAAATGGAGATCTCTTAAGGCCAAAAGGTTGTGAACCTATCTGGAGCTAGAAATACAAGGAGAGTTTCAGCAAATTCAAATGGTTGGGTTTTTTTTTAAGCTGGCATGAAAATGAAGGCACCTGGAAATTTCACATGAAGTGAACCTGCTGGGAGAGGAGAGGGAATGCATTTAACATCAGGAAGGATATTTTTAAAGTATCTGCACAAAAATGACACCTCTGCTAAAATGATACAGCTTCTGAAGGAAAGCAAGAATCCATTTCTTTAACTCAAGGTGCTGGTTGATCATTCCCTAGCACTGAAACCGGCTGTGCCAGGGAGCTCATGGGAGCTGCTGGCTGCCCTTCAAGGGCAGTGCTGGGAGATGCAGGCTCAGGCTCTCTTGCCATCCCTTGCTTTTCGGGATGGATACACTGCCTTTAGCTCCCTCTCCTGTGCAGCTAGCGCTACACACGTAGTGAGTTTGTCTGAGGAGGTTTCTGGGGTCGTTTTGCTTAAAGCAATTGTTCAGTGGTCTCCCAAATGAAGTGAGCTCATTAGCTAATGATTAACTCACCTAGGGAAAGGTGGCTTTAGGCTGTAGTGAATAGCAGCGTTTTAAACAACATGCTGTGGGAACTGCAGTGCTATTGTCCTTGTTCTTATATTTGATGTTTTGATTTCTTCTTCTCTGCTTTTTTTTGTTTGCATTAAGCAGTAACCTTGGGCATGAGGAGTGCAGCATTTCCTGCTCCACTCTTCTCTCATTTATCTGGGATAAATAAAGCTTGGCCTTGTCTTTCTCTGTGGCCCTTTCACAACTTCATTGTTTCACTGATGCATTAGAATTGTTGTTATGCTTATCCTCATAACACTCTGCAACACCTGGCAGGTGTTGTTGCCTGATTTATATGGAGAAGAGCTGAATCAACAGACAGTGACATTCCTGTGGACCCTCAGGGGGGTTTGTGGAAGAGCAGGGAATTGACATGAATTATTCAGTTATGGTTTGATATAAACCTAGGGTTGGAGCACCCTTCCCTGGAGACCAGCACTGCTCACCAAAGACCTTCTCTCTAAAACTTGGAAAGTCAGACAAACCTTACTCCTCAAATTGTTTTCCTTACCATGCTCCCAAAATATATAAAATCTAGCAAGCACAGGATGAAAATTAGGGAGAGGCTGTTTCCATTGTTGTTACTTTCAACAGAGCTTTAGAACTTGCTTTTGTCCTGGGGGAAAAAGCACTGCAGCCCTGTTGTGGGTATCTTGCAAGATGCTTTTTGACAACTGCTGTGAATTGGCTTTATGTTAAAATAATTCCATTCTGCTCTTTATGCTGACCTTGGGCAGTCTGACTGCTCAGGAAGTGTCTGGCTAAGCCTTTGAAGCCAGTGAGGGAGCTGGTGCCCCATATCCAGCACAGACTGAACTGTAAAGCTCTGGGTTTCTTTGTATTCCTGCATTTACAAAAGAAGGCTGAAGCATGACAATGTTAAAGCCTGTGGAGTAATTCTTCCTCTGCAGTAGGGGAATGAGGGCCAAGGGCTCTCAGCTAGGCCATGCTAGAGCTGTGCTCTAGGACTGGGGCATAGAGACCAATCTTGACCTATGTGTGAGTGCTCCTCAGAGATGAGTCTCAGGCAGTTATGTCTGGGCTCTTAGGCCCTGTACAGTCGAGCCAACTGCAGGGCTCACAGAGCATCCCAAACCAGATCTGAGGCAGACCTTGCTGTGTTTGGTCTAGGCTTCTGCTGCTTGCTAGCAGCAGCCAGGCCACTGGGTGACTTTTAGGCATTGAAAGCTCAGCCCAAGCCCTACACTGCAGTTATTGCCTCTCATTTATGCAATGGGACTTGACTTTTGTTTTTCAATAGAGATTGATCCTCCCAAGGACCTTCATGTATCAAATGTGACTCACTCTACTGGTGTGGTTACCTGGACTCCTCCTGCAGCACAGATTGATGGCTACTCCCTCACCTACCAGGGTCAAGATGGGACAAGCAAGGTACAGGGAATTCATCAGTCCTGCAGACCCCACTGAAATCACCCGTGTGATTATGGGCTCTGCCAGTTGGGTCTCATGGGTGTGTGCACCACAGAAAATGAAATTTTGAGGTGGAATCTATGCTATCCATTACTCAAGGAGGGAGGGCTTGAGGAGGGAGATGTGCTACTGTTATGAGTAGAAGCTGTGAAAAGACTTTGGTATGCCTCTTCCCAGGTGCAGAGAACATCTTTGCTTCCTCATTTTTGTAACTTATTACCTGGAAGGGCAGCACTCACCAGGGACAGGATGTCCTCAGTGTCCTAACTGTTTTCTGAGACCTTGCCCCAACTGAGGAGATGGACTCCATCTTTCAAGGTCACACAGTGAATGTGTTTGTCTGAACTCTACAGGAGAAACCTGTAAATGCACATGGAGTATGAGGCACTGTCTTACAGAGAAGGTAAATGCTGTTCAGAGTTGGGTTGACCTTTAATCTGTGTTGTTTGGCAGGAAGTACAGCTGAGCCCTAGCGAGCAGCAGTTTGTGCTGGAAGGACTGGAGCAAGGAGTGAGGTACACTGTCTTTGTGATAGCCTTTAAGGGAGATCACCAGAGCAGAAAGACAGACAGTACCTTCTCAACAGGTAGGAATCGGCCTTGGATGTTGCATTTTTCCCTGTGCTCTGCAGCTGTTGTGCTTTATGGTAGAGGTCAGAAACTGAGTTCATGTTCCACAGATGCACTGGGAAACTATGTGATCATAAGCAAACCATTTAGCAAATCATGGTGTGTCTCCTGGCTGAGTGTCCCACACCATCTGGAGCCTTGGGAACACAACGGGATAGTGTGAGTAAAGATTGCCCATGTTGGTCAGTGCTGCTGGCAAACCTTGCTAGCCAAGTGTGGACAAAGACTATTGATGAGCTGCCAGTGGGCAGGAGAGATGATTATACATCAGGAGATCTTTCTGCAGATCCTAGTAATGGCAGGGCACAGTGGTGTAAGTGCTCTCAGGGCATTGGGTAGCTGCCCAGGTTGTGCAGAGGTCAGGAAATGCACACAAGAGTGGCAGTAAATCAAACAAGTCTTATGCCAGTGTGCTGTGGGAGCATCTTGTACTGTGCTACTGCTCACAGGGGCTGCCAGTTTTTAGTTGTGAAATGGAGAGAAATTTAAGTCCCTGTTTTCTGCTACTCCCATCTTCACAAATATGGGGTCCTCTTCCTGCTCTCTCTGCAAGCCAAGGCTGAATCTTTACACAGGCAGATAGTGACAGGACAAGGGACAATGGTTTTAAACTGAAAGAGGGCAGGTTTAGATTAGATGCTAGGAAGAAATTCTCTACTCTTGAGACACTGTCACAGGTTGCCCAGAGAGACTGTGACTGCCACATCGCTGGAAGTGTTCAAGACCAGGTTGGATGGGGACCTGAGCAACCTATCCAGGGCGTGGCATCCCTGCCATGGCAAGGGGGTTGGAACTAGGTGATCTTTAAGATTTCTTCCAACCCAAACCAGTCTAGGATTCTATGGTTCTGTCTCTTGCAGCCTCTGGGGACCCCATCCCTGTGCCAGCTCCCAGCCAGTGGGGAAGACTTCCAGCAGCAATGCAGCTGGGCACTGTGTGAATGCTCAGCAGCAGCTTCTGCTTTCTGTACTTCTCTGCCAGTACTGTTGTCCATAGGAGCTTCCTATGGGGTGAAATGCCTCCTCCAGCTCTGTGGCCTGCTTTGCTGATGGGCAGTTTTCCCCCCTCTGTTCTCACAGTGAGCTTCCTGTACCCCTACCCTGCGGACTGCAGCCAGGCACGGCGGAACGGGAATGTCTCCAGTGGTGTGTACACCGTTTACCTGAGCGGGGACAGCCACAGGCCACTGCAGGTGTACTGTGACATGACTACTGATGGAGGAGGGTGGATAGTGAGTGATTCTCTGCTCCTCTCTCTGCTTTTTGATCCGTGTAATCGAGTGTACCTGGAACTGGTGTTAGCTGAGGCTCTTTTTGCTGCTGTGTTTCAGCCCCTGCCTGGATGGAGTGGCATGTTTTAGGGAGGGTGGTGGATGCTGATGTACCTGTCACCATGCCCTGTGACATGACTACTGATGGAGGAGGGTGGATAGTGAGTGATTCTCTGCTCCTCTCTCTGCTTTTTGATCCGTGTAATCGAGTGTACCTGGAACTGGTGTTAGCTGAGGCTCTTTTTGCTGCTGTGTTTCAGCCCCTGCCTGGATGGAGTGGCATGTTTTAGGGAGGGTGGTGGATGCTGATGTACCTGTCACCATGCCAACTAGACCATGGCACTCAGTGCCACACACAGTCTTTCCTTAAACACCTGATGGTGACTCGACTCCACCACCTCTCTAGGCAGTGCATTCCAGTGTCTAATCACCCTTTCTGTGAAGAAATGTCCAACGTAAACTCCCCCTGGTTCAGCTTGAGACGATGTCCTCCTCCCCTGTCACTTGTTACCTTGGAGAAGAGACTGATCCCACCTGGCTACAGCCTCCTGTCAGGGAGTTGTAGATAGTGATAAGGTCACCCCTGAGTGTCCTCCAGGCTAAACAGCCCCAGCTCCCTCAGGCACTTCTCATAGGACTTGTGTGTTATTGCCCAAGCCCTTCTGATTTTGATGAAGTTTAGAAACCCAAATGCCTTGTGGATCCTGTCTCTAGGCCTGTTTTGTCCAAATGTTAAGATCACACTCAGATTTGTGGAAAGCAAACTGTAAAATTTGCACAACTAAGTATTCACCCCAGTGCTTATGTGCAGTCAGAAAATGGAAATGGATTCCTGTGTGTATCCTGCTCAGTGTACCATCATAAAGGTTGGTCATCATAAAGATCTTGGAGGTCTTTTCCAACCTTAATGATTTTGTGATCAGTTAGGGTTGTCTGTTCCTGAGTGCTTCACATTTTCATCTGTGTTTGAGTCAGGCTGAGCATTTCTCATCCCCATCCTCCTCATCTCAGCAATCCTTGCTTTGCAGGTGTTTCAGAGGCGGAGCACTGGTGAGGTGGATTTCTACCAACGCTGGAAAAATTATGTGGAAGGCTTTGGAGATCCCACTGGGGAATTTTGGCTTGGTACAGTACATGGGTGTGACCAGTGAAGAGCTGAAGATTAGCTTTGCAGAAGCACCTAAATGCTGAAAGATCCATCCCCCCAAAGCCTGCAGTCGTGAACTGTCAGCTTCTGTGTCTTCCCTAGCAATGCCAACGAAGCATTGAGGGATCCCTAAAGGCTCACTAAGTATTTCCACTGACATCTGTGGGCTTTGGAGCAGTCCTAGAGCAAGCCAAACTCTGGAAAGGTTTATTTCAGGCTTGTGTGTTCGTATGAGAGGGGAAATAAAGAAATTGCATTGTGAAAATGGAAAGACCAGGAGACCACACAAAATGTGGTGTACTCAATCATTTTTTTTGTCTGTCTTGTTCTGTTAGTGAACAATGTGTGAATCAGAGAATCCAGCACTAAATAGGGCAAGGTCTTGGGAGCAAGTCTTTAAATGTTCTGGGAAAAATAATGTTTCAGTACAGCTAGTCTTGTGCTGGTTAAGACTGTTTGCTTTTTCTGATACTGCTGTCTCCTGCCAGGAACTGAGATAAGCCAGCATAAACTTGGCAAAATGTCATGAAGCATCAAGCAGGGAAGGAGGGAGGCAGGAAATAGCTGATTGAACCAAAATGGCCCATGGGGTGAGAGTCTAAGACTGCAAATGTGAACAGGCTTTTCCCTTTTAAGTGTGTTTGTTATTTTTTTATTTCTAGGTCTTGACAAGCTGCACAATCTCACAAGCAGCAGCCCCGTCCGCTATGAGCTCCGCGTGGATTTGCGCACAGCCAGCGAATCTGTCTACGCTGTCTATGACTTCTTCCAGGTTGCCTCCAGCAGGGAGAGATACAGGCTGTCTGTGGGGAATTACAGAGGCAATGCTGGTGAGGAGGGCCTGGTGCTTGTGTTATCTCTGCTTAGCACAGGGAAACAACTACAACTACCTGAAAAGGGGATTGGAGAGAGGTGGGGGGTGGTCTCTGCCATGCCTGTAGGGAGGGGACTAGAGGGGATAGTCATAAGCTGAGACAGGAGGGATTCAGATTGGACATTAGGACATTTTTTTTTCCCGGTTAGGTTGGTCAGGCACTGGAATACGTTGCCCAGGGAGGTGGTAGACTCACTATGCCTGGAGATGTTTAAGAGGCACCTGGACCTGGCACTGGAAGATAGAGTTTAGGGGTTACAGCAGTGACAGGTTAAAAGTTGGACTTGATGGTCTCAGAGGTCTCTTCCAGCCTTGATGATTCTATGTAATGCTGGGACCTGTGTGTTTGTTTTGCCAGTAGTGTGGGGGAGATCCTTAGGTCAGGTTAGATCAGATGTGATTCTCTTTGAGGAGAAAAGTCTGTACTTGCTAGGAGCACTAAGGAAAGTGTGCCCATAGGCCTGTCTCATGCTGAAGGTAGGAGAAAGAGTTGCTTTTTCATGTGGAAGAGAGGGCTCTTGTAGCCCAGGGAAAAAACATCTGAAAAGGCAGACTGGGAAGCATTTCCATGAGGGTAACCTTTGCTGATGGGACAGCAACTTCTGGGGCTGAGAGTGCAAAACAAAAGTGGCTTTTATTCAAGATGTGAGCTTGCCCAACAGCAGCACTGCCTTCTGCCACTGGTAAATCCTTACCATTGCTGTTGTGACCGTAGTCTTCCACTTATCCTTTAATATCCTTTTGCCATAAGGTTTGATCTTCAGCTGGGAGGATCCAGCCCTTGGAGTGCCCTTTAATTGCAGTGCTTTAGGAATTAGTGTCCAGACCTATCCTATGCTGTGGCTTTTCCTCTGCCAGGCCTGCTGTGTCCTGCCTGAAGGGTGTGTAAGTCTTCAGGATGAGCTGCTGTAGGACCTGACTCCTATTCGTGTCTTTCAACCCTTCCTCCAGGGGATGCAATGACCTACCACAATGGCTGGAAGTTCACAACGTGGGACAGAGACAATGATGTGGCTCTTAGCAACTGTGCCCTGACGCACCACGGCGCGTGGTGGTACAAGAACTGCCACCTGGCCAACCTCAACGGGAAGTATGGGGAGAGCAAGCACAGCGAGGTGAGCAGCAGAGCTTTGTGTGCTGGTTAGCTCTTCTCCCTAGCCTAGAGAAAACACATGGAGGGGATGTCTCTCCTTAGAGGAGCAGAGCTTGCCCAGGCTATCCTAACTGATTTCATCTGAAAGAAAAATGATCCATAAGGAAACTTACAGTTCTTACTCTGTCCTCCCTGCATCCAGAGGACTTGAGCTCATGGCTTCTTAATTCTTATGGGCAGAGATATCTGAGGTGAAATTGTCTTGATCTTTGAGAGCAATACCTAGAAGAACTCTCACTAGGAGCCACACTAGGATGCTGGCTCACTCTCATGTAGCCTTTACCTTGGCTTTCAGTGCATGTTTTAGGCAGCATCCAGCAGTGCACAGGCTTATTTTGGGCTTGAAGATGGCTCAGTCCTGTTGTGTTCCAAATTGAATAGAGATATGATCTATATTAGGACTATTAATTAGAGTCTATGTTTATTGGAGGGTTAAATGGTGTTATAGAGGGGTAGTGGTGGACTCCTAGCACCTGGTCTGGGCACTTCAGTAAAAGAAATTCCTTGGTCTTTTGCCAGGGTGTGAACTGGGAGCCATGGAAAGGCCATGAATTCTCCATCCCTTTCACAGAGATGAAGATCCGTCCTCAGTCTTCCAGTAATGAGCCAGTCCTGGGGAGGAAGAAGAGGTCTTTATCAGGGAAGAGGAAGAAGATCAGGGCTTAAATCGAACTCTGTGAAGAACAGTACCCAAAGAGAATGATTCAGTGTTCCTTAACAAAGTTCCATTCAGACAGCTTTTTCCAATGCATTGGAAACAATCCCTGACCAGTGTGCACCCAGGGACATGTGGACCTGCAGCCCAGCCTTTGGAGCTCCTGCTGGGGGATCTGTCAGAGACTGGGAAGGGGCTTGTGGGGAGCATCCTGCTTTTGTAGATACCCTGGTTGGCTAAACATGACGAGGACCTGCTTCATCCAATGTATGCAATTTGGATAAGCTTTATGTAAAACAAGCTTTAACACATGCTGATCCGTATGAAACCTCTGCATTCTGCAGGCCCCTCTTAATTCTGTCCCTCTCTGGTGCCATCTGCTTCAGCCTTCAAAAAATTAAATTTCCACCCACTAACCAACAATAGCCCCTAATTTTCATCAGAGAGAGCTTTCCTGAGACTGTCCCCTCTCCCTGTCTTGGTCTGTGGTTCCCCTTATTATTTGGGCACATTCCCTACTCTTTCGGCAGAGCTGGGTTTTGGGAAATAATGCCATGCTGCTGGCAAGGCTCATTGACCCAGGGGAGTTCTGTAGACTGGATTCCTCAACCTCCAGTATCACATCTTTCCAGGTTAAAAACCTGCTATTTTGCTTGTGTCTTCTTATCTGCCAACCCAGAGCAAAACCTAAGGGAGATGTGCAGTAAATTGGTGTTCACACTCCAGGGTGTGTGAGGACCAGAACAGGGTGAGTGTAAGGGCTACTCTCCTCCAAACCCTGCTCACCATCCCAAACCTGCCTCTCCATGCTGCTTGCCTAAGAGGCTGCTTACAGACCACAAACAAAATTCTCTATGCAACTGTCCCATCTGCTGCCTTCTGCTTTTCCATTAGCAGTGTGGTAGGTAGTGATGCTGCAATGATAACACTTGTCATCCATCTCTAAAATGAGCATCTCTTGGAGTTAAACCAATCCTGCATGCCCCAGTGCATGGTTTCACATTTGGCTGCTCTTTTTATAACTCACAGACATAAAGGTGAGGCTTATTTTCTTTCCCTGAACAGATATTTTCTGGACTACCAGCTACAGCCAGGGAAGAAGTATGAGCTCACCCAAATGCTGCTTGCTCAAAGGCTTCCTTGTCTGACCACATTGGAACATGGTTATCCTATGTCTTTAATGGCCTTTTCTATCCCAGTGCTAAGCTGAGCAATACTTCTTAAAGAATCCTTCCCAGACTTTGGGGGAAGTAATAGAATTGCAAATAAAGTAGGTCTTAAAATATTTCTGTCTTCTTTGCTTTGGGTGGCAGAATTATTTTCTTCCTATTTAAACTGAGCCTTTTGTGTGGAGATGAAGCATTTCCCAGGCCCAGAGTGGGGCTGTGCAAATTAGGTCTTTGGGGTTTGTTCCAAAACAGGACTAGGGACAGTGTGATCTCTTTGTGACTTAACTGATCTGTGCTTGCTAAGATCTGGCTGAGGAGAGTGAGCTTAGAGTGTTGTCCCTCAGAGCTGTGGACTAATTCTTCATAGCACTTTTAGGACTGTGCCTCTTGTGTGGGTAGGCAGGCAGAGACTTATCTAAGCCATGTTAGGATATCCAAGCCCTGATCTAGGGGAAGGAGGAGACTAATGGTGAGAGGAAAGGAAAATTGCACTTGGAGTGTTTTGTAGGCTCTGTGCTAAGAGCATGAGAGAGGGACACAGGAAAGTGATGAGGGCTCTTTACTGTGAAGTGCTTTCTCCCCGTTGCCCACTTGTCTGTAGGCAAGGAGAGGTTTCACTGTATTGTTTAGATAAAGGGCATAGTGAAGTCATCAGGAAGGTGACTGAGAGGGAGAGGAGCACCGGTCTCACACATAGCCACTCTAAAAGTAAGTGTATGCTCTAAAAACAGCAGGTGTGATTGTTCCCAGCAGCTCTTTGCTGTGCAGCAGCAGAGCATAATCCCCTCCTAAAGCTGAATCCCACCTGGGAGCAGGGATTATTCTCTTAAGCGCTATGAGCTTTGTGATTCTGAGCTAAAGGCAAACGAGACATCTTATTTGCAGTTTCTGAGGA